GGCCGCACACGCCTTAACTTTACATGGCTTGGTTTACAGAAGCCTGAAGCTTACCACTTCTTAGTTTTGTAGCCTAAAGCAGATATCTGCTTCTAAAAGTAGTTATTTATTTATTTGTCCTTTTGTTCTCTGATCACTGAGGCGGGATCTGTGTGCAATGCGCACTGGCCTGGAAATGCCTGTGTGGTCCAGGCTGGCTTTCCACTTGTGAGTGCTGGGACTGCGGGTGTGCGCCACCATCCCAGCTAGAAACAGACTTGTCTCCCAGAGCTCTCCGCCTCGGTTTCTGAAAGCAGGTCCCTCTCACGGTTGTGAGGATTAAAGGAAGGGGCATATCTTATGTGCTCTTTGGACAGTGCCAAGTTATGACCTACAAGTAAGGAAAATGCCTCCTCCTCGCTTCAGCTCGCTTTGCTCATCAACACTGCCAGTTTTGTCTTTCTCTAATGGGACAGCATTCGTTCTGTGCCTCCCCCCGTTATGTTTTTATTTAAAAAGAGAAAACTGCAAGATGAGACATGTTAACTAGTGTATTAAAGGCCCGGCAGAGTAGGGAGACTAAGAGAGAAGAGGAACAGGGGTGATGGCTGACCACCAGAGAGAGAGAGAGAGAGAGAGAGAGAGAGAGAGAGAGAGAGAGAGACTTACACAAACACACACGAACATATGCACACACAGCGGTAAACATACAAACAAGTACACACAGAGACGAATACATGTGTGAACAAATTAAAGACTGCGCATGTGCACTGAGGTATCACGCATGCCCAGAGTCCTCACGCGTGGTGGGTGACGTGATGATGACGTAGCATGTTTTCTTGTGTGGGCCCTGACTTGTCAGGGGGCAGGGTCTGTCTCTTAAAGAAGCAGAGCCGATCAGAGTCAAAGCCTGAACCTTTCACCCCTGTCCCCACTATGCGCTCCTTGCATTCCAGTCTTTACCCTTGAATACAGAAACACAAACTATCTTCCACTCCCTTGCTCCAATTGCCTTTTTTTTCAAGGCAGGGTTTCTTTTTTATGTTTTTTTAATTTAAATTCTTTATCTACTACTCATTTACATATCCATCTCCCCCATTCCCTTGCCCTCCCATCCACCCATGTTCCCCACCCAACCCCCCCAACCCACCCATCCCCAGGGATAGTGAGGCCCTCCACCAGGGACCTTCAAAGTCTGTCATATTGTTTGTGGGAGGGTCTAGGCCCTCCTTGCTGTATCTGGGCTGCAATAGTATCCTTCCACAGGGAATGGGCTCCCAAAGTCCATTTGTGCTCTAGGGATAAAGACTGGCTCCACTGTTAGAGGTCCCATAGACTGTCTTGGGATCCTAGCTGGCACCCACATTCAGAGGGTTTGGTTTGGTCCAAGGCTGTTTCCCCAGCTTTATGACTGGGGTCTCCATGCTCTCACTAGGTCAGGTCCACTGTTTCTGCAGGTCTCTCCAGCCCCGCCTTGGCTCCTTTGCTCATCCCTCCTCCTTCTCCACAACTGAATTCCAGTAGTATGGTTCAGTGCTTAGCTGTGGGTAAGACAGGGTTTCTCTGTATAACTTTGGAGCCTGTCCTGGAACTCGCTGTGAAGGCTGGTCTGGAAATCACAGAGATCCGCTTGCCTCTGCCTCCTGGGATTAAAGTGCTGGGATTAAAGGCGTGTAGCACCAATGCCCAGCCAACATCCTTTTTATTAATTCAACAAATTGGCAATTCACATTAAAGGGACATACACACTATAAAACACCAATTAATAACTCATTGTTTTTATTGGCGCAGAACTGCTGTCATGTATTTTTGCCTTTAAAATGTCACTAAGAGGGGCGGGGAGTTGACTCAGTCGCTAAGAGCACCTGTTACTCTTGCTGAGGGTCTGAGTTTGGTCCCAGCATCCACAGGGTGACTCACAACCATCTGAACACCAGGTTCGCACATGATACACACACATACATGTAGGCCCAACACTAATACACATAAAAAAAAAATCTCCTTTTAAAAAAGCAATAAAATAAAATGTCCCTAAGAAGCCACTTGCCATTTCCATGATCTTTTAAGTCTGCTGAGAGAGAGCTTTAGAAGTGGAGGGATCCTTCCGGCTTATCCGATTCCTGGTATTAACTTAATCTCTCTCCTCCTGCAGGCCTGGACCAGGCTCCTGAAGACACAGACCACCCGAGGCCCACAGAGCAGCCTCCAGGCAAGTGCTCCTTCCTGGGGCCTCCTCCCATTTTTTTCTCTCAGTCCACCCCCCTTGTGGTCATCGCTGCCAAAGACTTAGCTGGATCCCCGCAGACCCCCATGGGTCCCTTTCTGTTCTGGCTGGAAGCAATACCTTTCCTCCTTCCCTAAGCTGGTTTAACTCTCTTTTTGCAATTCCGGGATCAAACCCAGGGCCACGCCTGTGCCTGTCACACAAGTGGCACTCTGCCACCGAGGTACGTCCTCAGCCCCATTTTTGTCTTTTTGTCTTTCAGACAGGGTCTTGCTATGAATTTGTAGTACTCGGTTTACCCCAGCCTTCCAAGTGCTGGGTTTACAAGTATGAGCCATTGTGCCTGGCATAATTTAGTTTGATGATCTCTCTCTCTCTCTCTCTCTCTCTCTCTCTCTCTCTCTCTCTCTCTCTCCCTCTCTCTTTATATCTCTATCCTCTTGCATGAATGCAGAGGCGGGAGGAAGACATCGGGTGTCCTCTGTCACTCTCTGCCTTGGTCCCCTGAGACAGGGTCTGTCTGTGAATCTGGAGATCTCTGTTTTATTCTCTTAAGATGCAATAATCACTATTATTATTGCATTATTATTGCATTATTATTTTAAGATATGTGTGCAAATGACAGGTAAGTGTAGGTGCCCACAAAGGTCAAAAGAGGGCACTGGATCCCCTGGAGCTGGTGTTACAGGCAGGTGTGAACCATGAAATGTGGGCGCTTTGAAATCTGAGCCATCATCTCTCGAGACCACTCTGTCTGAGTTTTTCTTAGCTTGATTGCTCTGCTAGCAAACCTGAGAGCCTCCTCTCCCCATCCTGCAACTCTCTCTCTCTCTCTCTCTCTCTCTCTCTCTCTCTCTCTCT